TGGCCTGGGAACGCCTTGGTATTCCCCCGGACAAGCTGGAGGAGGTGGCTGGGGAGAGGGAGGTCTGGGCCTCTTTGCTTAGGCTGCTGCCCCCGCGACCCGACCCCGGACAAAGCGGATGACGATGGATGGATGGATGGGTGTCACATGGCCCTCTTCCTATTGAAAAAACAAAAGTTGGATCCAAGATGGCTGACCACCCATCTTGAGAAGTTTGCCCCCTCACATATACTAATGTGCCACAAACAGGACTTTAATATCACCAACCATTCCCATTTTATTCCGGTGTATCCATATAAATGGCCCATCCTGTAGTTCATACTTGTGTATTAATTCAATTTAATTCAGTTTTATTTATACAACAACAAATCACAACAACAGTTGCCTTAAGGTGCTTTATATTGTAAGGTAATATTTCTCTCTACAATATCTGATAGAAAACCCCAACAATCAGATGACCTTCTATGAGCAACCACTTGGCGACAGTGGGAAGGAAAAACTCCCTTTTGATCATTATTACTTAATTATGTATTAGTAGAATAAATCTTTACCTGTTCAGATTTACTGGGTTGTATCTGATTACAAGTATACATCTAGAAAAAAAAAACATTCCCAATGGAATAACAACAGCAAAGTTCTCCCTGGAAAGCCATCTTGTAATGCCTCCTAGCACTTTTGAAATGTTAACCTTTGTTCAGATTGTTGTCTTGATATAAACAGGGGTGCACATAGGTGGTCCGCAGGTACGCATTTGCTGTCAAAATAAAAGACGCGCACCAGTTAAGAAGTTGGAATGCGCGTTTGCGCACATAAGATGTTCTGGAGGAGGACAGACATTTGTTCAGAACTCTTAAAGATGTCGAAGAAGCAAGCTCCGTAAGCAATTACTTTGGTGTTCCTCCACCGCAAAAGAAGCGCGTATTCCAGGAGGAATATAAACACAATGCACACACAGTGTCAGCGTATAAATGTTATTATAAAAATTAACAGAAAGTTTGCAGACTTTACCCTGTAAGAAAGCTTTTAAAGGCTTAGCTTTACCTTTTTAACATCTTAAATTTTGTGAAATTTCATGGAAATCTGGAATTCTGCAAAAGCAAGAGTTCTTCCATAGATTTAGATGAGAAGGCCGAATCTATAAATAGCATGAAGTCCTTCATGTGGTCAGAGTAGTACCAAAATAGTCAATTTTGCTCTACAAGGGCCTGATATCCACTTATGAGAACATTATAATGCTACTGTTCTATCGAAATTTTAAATGAATATCTTCATATATGGCTCTCATTTTTCTTAGAAACAAAAATTAGGTAAAATAAAAAAATCTGGTAATTCTTTGTTTTTACATTCATCAGGTCCCAATCAGCCCAAATATCAAAGAGAAATTAAAAATGCATGCTGTGGATGAGTTTGGGTCTTAGGAGGTTAAATCTGTCACTAGAGCCACCTGACGTTAACCCATTAATTACTTTGTATTTATACAAACACACAAAACAAGTATAAAATGCTGACTAAAGCTCGATTCAGACTTCTGCAGGAAATCTACATCCTTACTTACAACATAACTGGAAACCCCTCTTAACCCTGCCATGCCACTGAAGTCGTTGCGGGCTGCATCGACGTGATCTTTAGTTACATTTAACATTACAGGAGGTGCACTTTAGGTTATGTCAAAGGTTACAGTGTAGCGTTAAAAGCTATTTCCAGTTACAAAGTAAGTCCCATTCAAGCATAATTCACGCATAAGAGATAATGTTTTTTTTTTTGTTTTGTTTTTTTTTTTTTAGCCTGTCCCGTTTGGCTCTTTTGCCATCAGAATTGTTGTCTAAAGGCAAAGAAAGATACCCAACGGATTTACTTTACCAAACTGACCATCCCAGCCTTGCCGTAATGGTCCATTTGATTCACCTTTTATTGTTTATTTTATTTTCACTTACTGAATACGGGACATAAGAGATAATGTTACAGTGGTGACTAATGAAAGTGGTTATACCAAACCACAGACCGTGTAGTAACACTGCTCTACGTGTGGAAGAGTGGGTACATTATTTCTAGATTCTAAAACTTGAGATACTATCACTTTAACAAATTTTGAGGTCAAACCTGGAGGGAACAGCACAGCGGCTGCATTTATTTATTCTTGGTGCTTTCGTAGAGAAATTTGGTACTCGAAGAACTCTGAACGAAATCTTTGCAACAAAGTTACAGTTTTCTATACATTACTGACCAAAGAAGATTTGTAATAACTTTCCTTCGGGATTAATAAAGTATTCTGATTCTGATTAACTGCCCAGAGATTACGTCCAAGTGGAAAGGTTTGCTTCTTTAATGGCGTTTATGTGTGTTGCTCGAATTCCTGTTGCTTGACTACTGCGAGTGGACGCCTGTTTACTCGTTAAAAATGTGATAATGTGATAGACACGCTCAAGAGATTCTAAGTCAACTGTACCGTGGCAAGAGCAGTGCATGATGGAAATAAGCATGAAGACACATAAACAGGCAGGTAACCAACATTTATTTACCATTATCAACTTTACAATAAAACCAGTAACATCTGTCAACATTAGCAAAATAAAGAACAGAAATCAATCCAATTTATTTACAGAGACAAAGCAGATTCAGGCTCACACAAGACAGATAAACAACTCTGCTTCATATCAAACTGCAACAGTGAACATAGCAAGCTTAAGTGTTCTTTTTTTTTTCATAGTAAGGTAAAAATCAAAGTCGTCTATCTTTTTTTTTTCTTTGAACAAACAAGACATAGCTTCTCTGAATCTTTAAGATGGTTCTCTATAATACACCACAAAATACTTCAAATTTGGGTTAAAATATAGGAATGTAAAAAGTTGGCAAGTCTTTTCTGATTTCTTTTTCTTCTATTTAACAGTCATTTCAAGTGGTTGTGGTGTCCTAGTATCTTATCTAGCGTCGTTCCTTCGGCAGGAGGCATTCTTGAGCTGTGGATTTTTAAGGGAAAAGATGCTTCGACCTCCAATCATCATCCATCGTTACTTCATGGTGTCATTTGCCGGCCAGCTAGCCATTTAAAATCCCCCCAACCCCCCCTCCCCACGCACAGCGACCAAACCCGCAGCCTAAAACTCAGTCCAGGTTCAGATGTCGAGCAGTAACCAGGAAAGTGATCTAGTGAATCTAGTCTGTCGTCTTGTTATCATGACGAAAAAAGTGGCACGTCGAAGGAGTCTCTCACATACATGTGTATATATTTACATATACATATATCCATATACATATGTATACATATACACATATATATAAATATATATATATATATATACTCTTAATTTTCTCTCTCTCTCTTGAAAAACAGTTCACCCAGTTCATTGTGAGCTAAACGTACAATCACTCTTTCTTTTCAGACGGAGCGGGGGTCGAGCTGCTCTCCTCTGTCGGTTTCGTGGCCTCGGGGGCAGGAGCAGCTGCCTCTTTGGCCTCCTCCTTGGGGGCCTCCTCCTTAGCTGGCCCCTCCTCCACCTTCGGAGCCTCAGCGGCAGAGGCAGCGGCAGCGGCGGCGTCAGCAGCCTCCTCCTTCACCTCCTCTTTCTTCTCCTCGGCAGGAGCAGCGGCTCCATTCTCAGCAGGCTTCTCCTCAGAGGGGGCAGCGGCAGCCGCTTCCTCTTTCACAGCCTCGCTCTTCTTGCTCTTCTTGATGTTCAGTTTGAAGTTGAAGGGCTTCTTCAGGGAGAACTTCTTCTTCTTCTTCTCTTTGGTGCTTTCTTTGGCCGCAGCCTCGCCCTCCGGTTTCGCAGCCTCTCCGTCTGCAGCAGGCGCCGGTTCGATAGTGTCACCTCCCGCACTGGCTTCAGGCTCCTTGGCGGCCTCCGCGGAGCCGTTGGTAGCTGCAGCATCCCCATCGGGCTTTGTAGAAACATCGCCATTGGTCTTCACGTGACCGTTCTCCTGTAGAAAGGGTTACAAAAAAAAGAAAAAAAAGACACAAAATAAGTCAGCTTTCTATCAAGTCTTGTGTTTTTTAAATTAAAAAACAAACATAAAATACAAACAAGAACAACTGTTGTTGGGGAGGTCTTGTATCTTTGCCGAGCATCGTTGTGCTCATCAATTAACCACCATGTCGTCTGGCTCAAGAGGCGACGCCTTGCAGTACCCTAATCAGGCGATAGGCGGCGGCAGCGTCTCACAGACCGCCCGGGTTGCCAGACAGACGGGCTCAACAAAGACGAGGCTGAAGCTCATCGATGGACGAATGAAAACACCTTCATTTGTTATTTTTTGTTTACCCAAGAAAAATGTGATAATTTTCCAGGGGAAAAACATTTAAAACTCCGAAGAAATTTTTTTATTCATGAAACCCCCCCCCCCCCCAAAAAAAAATTTGGTAAGAGTGACGGAAAATCGTTGTTTTGAATATTAGTGACATTTGACATCTCATTAATGACTAATTTTACTTACATTACGTTTTGGAAAGTACCAATTTGCAAGATTTGCGGTGAGACGGCAACAGGGCTCTTTTCAGGGAGGAGTAGTAGACTGCCTACGTGCGAGCAAGCCGCCCCCTCCCCCTTTTGTGACTGGCACTGTCAAAAAGCGTTCTCGGTTCGACCTCAGTGACAAATAAACACATACTTACTTGAAACTGGGAAAACCGTGACAAATAACAGCCCCCCTCCCCGCGGACTGATATGTTTTTGGGGGGAGCTCTGTGAACACCCGTCTGAGCACAAGATGCTACAAAGCCCCACCTGACTTACCCCAAAATGTCCTCACATTCAAGTTTAATCGATTCATCGTTAGCCAAATCCGCTATATGCGAGGTTTTCGTGTGAGAAACTCAACTTTTATCAATTTATTATGCCATCCTTCTGTGATAAAGTAGTCATACGGAGCAACTAGATGGTATATTTACCTGTCCGTTGGTTTTGGCAGCTGCAGCATCAGCGGCAGCAGCGTTTGCCTCCGCGGCCACCTCTCCCTTGGATGCCTGGGATCCCATTGTCTTCGGTGAGTAGCGGTCTTCTAAAGCAAATTAAAAAGAAAAACTAAAAAAGGCGCGTTTTAAGTTAATCCAACTCCAGAGCGAGTTACGTATCCAGCGGTGAAACCGTGAAAAGTGTGTGTGTTTTTAATTTTTTTTCTTCAAACAGCAGTTACTCCCCTTCGGTTGTTCCCGTTGTCTGACTTGCCACCCCGATAGAGAGAGACCCTCTAAACTCGAAGCTCGCTGAACGCAACGCTTCAACATACAGCAGGTTCAGGGCACCACCCGTGGGCGGATCCTGTTCATGAACGGCCAATCATCGTCTGCTCTAGCCCGACTTTGTCCAATCACCTCTGACTCCCTAATTGTCCCCGCCCCTCTAGTGGACCCCCAGCAAAGAAATCAATTCAGCCTTACTAAATGCAGTGTTTTATAGGCATGAAACTAAAAAAACAATGCTGACATAGCATAAAGATAAGAGAAAAGTCTCCCACACAAAAGTAGTTTCCTTCCTTGTAGTGAGTATTACTGTATGAGTGTGTTTGCTTACCTCAATTCACATGATGGCTGATAATTCAGAGGGAAGATATGGAGCACATAGCTTCATAGAACATCTAGGTGATTACCAGATGAGAGTGAGGTATATTTATAGTAAACATTAAACCACTTGTTTGGATGTGTGTGCGGGCTTTAATAGCATTGCACCTGATAGCATAAATTGAACTTAAAGTTGCTTTGATCAAGAAATCAGCAGTGAGAAATAATGAACACGGTATAACAACTCTATTCACTGTAGCAGTTTATTTACACAGGATGCACAAGCACCCTTAGGCCTGCAACTAGTTCTTTTGAGTTATTAATTGACTGTTAGATCCTTTCCTCAAAGTGCCAAAAAAAAGAAGAAGTGAAAACTGCTCTAAAAAGTAGAAAGACAACCCTTTTTACCTAGATTTATTTTCCTTTCACCTCCAATTCCCACTGTCTCATTTCATGGCATTTAGTAATGCACTGCACCATTATTGTTTCACTTTTGCTTCCTGGCGTAAGTGGGGGAATTCTGACTGGACATCTTTTGGTTTCAGTCTCAGTACAGATGGTAGACAAAAACATATCTCAAATTACAGTCTGATTCAGCAATTAGTCAGACTGTCAGTAAAATCCAACACGTTTCCAGAAGTCAACTTATGGTATGAAAAAGCCTCCATATAGAGTAAATCACAGGCACAGTCTCCCCTGGGCAGTCAAATTACTCGAGAAAATAGTAGTTCCATCAGGTAGATGTATTATGCTTTACTAGCACAACACAGCTCATGAAATTCAGTTTAAGACGAGAAGAAGTAATTCTTGCAACACTATAGCCATCTTAAAATTCCTCTATTTTTGAAGTACGGCTAAATTAGTTAACAAGTTAAACCATATAAATGACTATGCCCTAAATAAAGCCTTTAAACAGCTTTTCTTTTTGCTCTAAAAAGTTATACTTCTACCACAATCTGTACTGTTGTGGAAATCTAGTAATTTTGGATTGTCATGGGTTTGATTCACTGCATCCCACTAATTGACAGAGCAGTTATCTGAAAAAGGCACACTGGAAGAGCAATTAGATCAAAATCTTGGTTACACAGAAATAAACGCAACCTAAATGGGCATTCAGGGAGCGCATGCTCCGCCAAGGCCAGCGTGCTCTTTTGCAGTTAAAAAAAAACAGTAACCCACTCGTTTCCCCATGGATCACCTCTCCGCTGTCTTGGAGTTCAGCACTTTTTAATGTTGCTTTTACCGTATGTCCATTAAGTCTCTCACTGTGATGGAAGAAATTTTATGACAGTTTTCATTTATACAGAGGACTTAACTGTGACAAAATCAACAGGTGGAAACTAAAACAGAAAAAGACTGGGAATGGGAATGTTTTTACCTCCAGGTACACTATTTCCCATCTAGATCTGTTCCCACCAGGAGGAGCAGCTGAATGGTAAAGTGGATTCACTTCTGTCATTCAATACAAATGAACGAAAACAACTGAATGAGAGTTTACTCTATTGTTCGATGTAGATTTAGAGGACACATTTCTGGCCATCAGATTGGAGAACAGGATTCTTGTTGAGGCTAGTAGCATGTCACGCTGTCTCCTCATGTCTACGTGACTAGAAATGTTGTTCACTTCCGCTTGTCAACAACATACCAGTGCTTAAATATGCCAACGGGATGATCATGCACATTCCCCCTGATCGTTCGCCTCCACAAACATTCTTCACAACAGCTGCTGATGTTAAAAACCTCAGTTACGCAAGCCAAAGACTCCAGTGTTCAGTGGCGCAAATTGTTCTTTACTGCAACCAATCTGTCTAATTGATTTTGCAAGACTCGGGACCAGTGAAATGTGTGTCCTATTAGAAACCCACCTGCTCATCTCTTTGCAGGTACAGATCAGCGATGAACAGAAATGAGTTTGAGATACTGGCTGAACTGTGTAATCATGAATGCATTTACAATGGGCTCAAAGCACAGTTTTGCATTGTCCATGCAAACATTTCATCAATGTGGTTAATACAAAGTTATTCATGTGACTGTATCAGCTGAAGACTTTCACTGTAGAATGCAGAGTGCTCCTTACTGATGTTGCTCACATGAATTCAGGTCTTCCAGTTACTTTCATGACCACGGGTGTATGAAATCAAGTACTTAGACATGCAGACTGCATGCAGACCTCAACAAAAAGTGCAGTTGTGAAATTTTCTCACTCGTAAATTGTCCATAGTCAGCTGTTAGTGGCATTGTAACAATGTGTGTGTCATTGTGGGGAAATTGCTGTCATGCCAGCAAATGCTGAAGCGTGGAGTGCGCAGAGTCAATTGATACATACTCTCAAATTTCATGTGGCCGTCAGATTAGCTCAAGAACATTGTGCAGAGAGCTTCAAGGAATTGGTTTCCATGGCTGAGCAGCTGCATCCAAGCCTTACATCACCAAACACAATGCAAAGAGTCGGATGTAGTGGCGTAAAGGACGCCGCCATTGGAGTCTAGAGCAGTGGAGATGTGCTGGAGTGACGATTCACCCGTCTTCATCTTGCAATCCAATCAACATGTCTGGGTTTTGCTGTATAAAGTTTGTTGGAGGTGTAGGTTGCATTTTAGGAGTTGGGCTAAGCCCCTCAGTTGCCCTCAGTTCCAGTGAAAGGAACTTTTAATGTTTCAGCATACCAAGACATTTTGGACAATTTAACTTTGTGGGAACAGTTTGGGTATAGCCCCATCCTCTTCCAGCGTGACTGCGCACCGGTGCATAAAGCAAGGTCCATAAAGACATGGATGAGCAGGTTTGGTGTGGAAGAACTTGACTGGCCTGACCTCAACCTGACAGACGACCTTTGGAATAAATTAAAGCAGAGACTGCGAGCCAGTCCAACATCAGCGTCTGACCTCACAAATGTGGGTCTGGAAGAATGGTCATAAATTCCGATAAACAAACTCCTAAACCATGTGGAAAGCCTTACACAAAAAGTTGAAGCTGTTATAGCTGCAAAAAAATGGGCTGACTTCATATTAAACCTTGTGGATTACGAAGAATGGGATGCTACTCACATTCGTTTGTGTGAAGGAAGGCAAGCAAATATTTCTGATGATATAGTGTAAGTAATTGCTAATATAATGACATTAAATAAGTAGTAGTTAGCTTTAGTTAATTAAATTCTTGCTAAGAGATAAAGGAGAACCAAGACTAATAGTTGTTCACAGCTGGGATCTACTGAGTTGATCTTATAGCATGAGGGCTTGAAGGAGGATGGAAACACTATACATTGTTGCTCGTATGTTCATCAGTTAGTTTTATCGATACTTTTCACACACATGAGAGCAACTTGTTACTCCCTGAGTTTTGTTTTTGTTTTTGTTTTTAGAAGAAAGTAACCAAAGCACACAAGAATTACAAAGAAATCTCACTTTTTTTTGCAACACATTAATTAATAAGTAGCAACAGGCTGCACAGTGCACCAAAGTAGACATTACGTGAGATAACACTCTCTTTAATAGATAGTAAACAAAGAGAGCCGTCACCTAGCTCTTGCTTTTAAAATATGGTCAAATTAAAGTATATTTAGTGGCCATATAGTGCCATAAAATCCAAGCTAGATTACACTTATACATATTATGCACATCTTAGTCTTTATAATAGATAGAAAAAACACTGAGCTCACAGGGCAAAACATTTGATCAGCCTTTGTTTAATGTACTTTATTACAGGCTCACAAGAAGAAGAAGAAGAAGGGCCTCTTAGCCTGAGTGTTGTTTAGGCTCCTGTGGAGTTTGCAGGCCTTACTTCCTCAACAATCTGCTTCCCGCAAAGGTTAAGAGTCTAAGTTGTGTCGCTGTCTGACATCAGTAGCCTAGCATAACAAAACCATGTGAAATAAAGGTTACATTTATTGGGAGATATTAACTATAAAAAAACAGTGTTATCATTCTTATGTGATCAGGGAAGAAGGCTATAATGCATGACCAAATTACCATGGTGGTCAGAAAAGATGGATCATTTAATTAGTAATGAAACCAAGAAATTATTACCAGCAAATAATATAGATGCATCAAATAAAAGTAGACAGAACAGATTCAGAGAAACAGAAAAGGCAAATGAGATCAGTAGGAGGTAACAGGACAAGAAAAACATGAACAAAATCAAAATGATGCTTGCTGATTAGCATTGTGGTTTTATGGTGTTATTGTGTGGTATTTCCTGGACAGGTGCAGTGACCTCCATGTGCTGGTTGCCTGGCAAACTCACTAAGGACAAGACTCCAGGAAGTCTTTTAGGAAAATATATTTACCTTTTCATGCAAGCTCTTCCTGCTTGCATGTGCAGGTCTTTCTGCTAAGTTAGGCTAACTGTCTCCTGTTTGTATCCTCATCAAGCGTCAACCTCCTGAGCGAAAGAAAATTCCTGTAATGGCCATTGAGGCTGTCTCCAAGAGTCAGCCACCATAGAGTCCCATGTTAAAATAGTCAGCTTTACAGGATTAAAAAACATGTTTACAGCTAAAAACAAACAAACAAAAAAACGTGTTTAGCAACTACTGATAGCTTCCTTATGGTGGATGAATTGTATTTATAAGTCATCTATCTAGATAGTATCAAAGGGCATGGGCTTCTTTGATAGAACAGAGTGAAATTCTAGTTTATTACAAGCTTGTTGCTTAGCAATGATGAGTAGATGTCTTATAAATTTAGCTTGCTAACCAGGCTTGCAAGCAATAACTGAAAACGTAACTCTCAAA